TTTTCACATTTTACCCACTGAAAAATTTTTGAGTCATTTACACCAGCTAATTTTACTTTTAAATGAAAGAATATATCTTTTGCTTTCAGAAAATACCTAGTTTCATGGGGTTCAGATCAAAAGTTTCCTTGATATTCGTTTAGGTGATGATAAAACAGTCATTTTTCAATATTTTACCCCTAAAAAAGTATGAAAACCCATATTTTGAGAGAAAATAAGCTGTGACAAAATGACTTTTGCTATTTTTGTGATGATTTTCACTTGGGAAAGAAAATTTTTACCATAGGAAACCTGAATTGACTTTATTTAAGTTCAGTGGGTCTGTAGGAAGCCTCAGACAGCTGTGCAATACATTAAGAGAGAAAAACTTTTCTGACATCACTGGCAAATAGAGATACAACCAATTTTCCAGCAATAAGTTTGACACCTCTCTTAATTCAGACAGAATTATGAGCAGAGACTTGATTTACTTTTTGATGTATATTTTTCAACATGTCAAAGGATCCAAACATGAGGTAAGAGTTAGAGGTGTTTTATTACATCACTACAGTATGTCTGGCAAAAACAGGTAATCCGGTATGGGTCTGGGACAAAGGGGTTGAACCTGTGTGTCTATATTAAACCTCTACTTAATTTGTAAATATTTTCTAAGCAATTTCATAGTTTCTTGTCTTTACAGAAGACTGAAAAGAAGCTTATGATTTTGCTGAACTGATTGTCATAATAGCTGGTAGTTTGTTTGCTTCAGTGATTAGCTAATTCCTGTTGTAGATACCTGCTCAGGTAGCTTATACTGAAGACTAACTTCTAACTTTGTGTTAACATAATCATCAACCTAATTCCCCTCACAGGAATTGATACAAGCTGCGGTATGGTTTTCAGGCACTTTTGAAGTGTTGTCTCATCCTGTGACCGTCTCTCCAGGCCAATATTATCAAATTATCTACATGACAGGTTTGGAACGCTAGCATTCTAACTACTTGGTCACAAAGTTTGTCACAGAAGAGAATCAATCTATGCATTTGGCCAACATTTTTCTCTATTTTAGAATTAAAAAATAAAAAAAAATAAATAAAAAAAACATGCACATCTAAAGTAAACATTTTGGAGAAGTGACTTAAGAAGCCAAGAAAAAAAAAGAAAGAAAGATATACAAAAATGAATTTTTCTTTTTCACTGAATCAATACTAGATTGACAAAACCGGTTTTATTCAAAGTATTTAATTTATTAGTGTACAATTATAGAATAGAAAATACTTTAAATATGAAATTTAACAGATTCATCAACATATACAAATTGCTATCAATTAAAAAATGGCTTCTCTACAGAAACTGAGCTGACAATACTAAAATATAATTTATATACATCACTGTTTTTATTCTATCACTGGTAAATATAAACATTTTCTAAAAGTCTTGCTTTAATTTTGGCAAACAGTAGCAAGTATTTTTAATATTATTTGCTTGTCTCAAAGCTTTAAAACATTTTTTCTTCAGGAATACATCCAAACATTACAAAAGGAAACTAGTGATGATCATAACAGACAATTCTATTGTCTCAAACAAGGCATATTATTTTTGAATTATATAAATAGGTTTAATCATACCACTGAAATTGATTGGAATCTTTTCTTATCAGTAAAATCTATAAACTCATTCATATTAACAGATGTGTCAACACATAATTCTTTTTAAGACATCTTTCAAAACTAAAATATACTTTTCTGAATCTCTGAGGAAGATTAGCCTATTTAAAGTTTAATTTGAATTGAAACAAATTTACTTTTAGTTTGAAATATCAGAGAAACATTTTTATAAAAAGAGAGGGGTGTTTTTCTGACATGTTGAGCGATTTATTGACAGCCTGATGTTTGAGAATTTTAAGTAAATGGTTCTTAATATAAAAAAAAAAAAAAAATTAATTTGAATACATGTTGTGGAGTACCTGAAAACTCCCACAATAGGAATTGGTCTAAGACTATTTAAACAGCACTCTCTCTTACTGAGGGAGAGGAATTAACGATTACAGTTAATTCTGCTTGTCAACTCTACCTCTGGGTGGAGAGGAACCCAGATGAAGCTATGCCAAAGGGCAGAGTCTCATCTAGGGTGGTAGACGGATATCTGAACCCCATGTATATGGGGTCTACAGGCAATTTTTGCCTGAGCATATGAGCTCAGAATGCCCCATGTAAAAAACTGGCCTTGTGCCACATTCTGCTTTGTGAGGAGGTCTCAGGTAATTACCGAGAAGTTAATGATTAATCATGACTGCCTTCACACAGAGTCTCATCCGGGGAGGTAGACAGCCACCTGACCCTGTGTATGTGGATCTATGGGGAATTTTTGCCCAAGCATGTGTGTTCAGAAAGCACCACATTAAAAAAACAACCTTGTGCCAAATCCCACCTGGTGAGGAGGTCTTGGGTAAATACTGAGGAGTTAACAAGTAACTCCTTATTACATTAGTCAGTCTTCTCAACTATGTACTATATTATTCTTCAAAATAAACTATTACTTATTTTCTATATTTGTGTCAACCTTTCCTCCTTGTCTTTATAACAATATAAGCAATCAAGTGACACAAAAAAGAATTCCTTGAAATTCCACAAAAATTGAATGAGGTACGTGTGGAAAACAGATTAAAAAAAAAAGAAAAGAAAAAGTTTCATTCATTTCTGAATAAGTCCTGGAAGTTTCCCGATTTTTGCAAAAATTTCCGAATCAATGTTTTTCACTGCAAAAAGACACTCAAAATTCCCGTACAAATTTATGGCCCCGTGTTGACGAACAAACAAAATAAATAAATAAATAAAATAAAAATAAAACTATATTTATTTTAGCCAAAATTTTTAAGATTCTAAAAAAGATTAAAAACAAAATCCTCTGAGTTTTGTTTTTGACAATAAAAATTTACGTTCTGTGCATTTTTTTTCCCCATTTTCTTATTAGCTAATTTTTGGAGGTGCCTAAAATTAATTGTTCTGTTATATACAAGAAATTTTTGATTCACAAATATTGCATCGTTTTCTTCCACCTCTTTCTTTTTTGTTTGTTCAAAGGATCATAAAAATTGAAGTAGTTCCTAAACTGAATGGATGAAAAAAAACAAAACAAAAAAACGCACAATTCTAAGTGTATGGGTAGCAGACAAAATTTTCCTGTCAAGAATGGCTAAAAAGAGTTAGATACGAGAATATTTTTTTTTCCGTTTTGGGGAAGGGGATTATTACTAGTCTTTTCACAATTCATTATTTTAGTATATAATAATTCAAAGTTTTCAAACTCCTCCCATTTTAAAAAGTTAATAAAATACTTAGCAAAATGCTAGAGAACCTGTTTAAAAGTAGCCGTCAGCGAGTTTAGTTTTAAGTGGAAGTTTAACATTGCATTTCTTGATTAGTAATTGAATTATTTACCATATTGTAGATCTTTTTTTTTTTTTTTTTTTTTTAAATGTCAAATGTTTCATTTAAATTTTAAAATTACTAACACCAAATTTAAAAAATATTCCTTATTCTATATTTGGAGCCGTTTTATTATATTGTGCTTTTGGTTTTCTCAATTCTTAATTAGTGAATCACAAATTTTTAAAAAAAATTTAAGGTTTAAAATAGTTTTAATGAAGAATTAAAAATATTTTTAATATAATTTTTAAGTAGCAAGTAAAATAACAAAAACAGTTCCCTCCAGAAAAATAAAGTACAATGAAGAATAATACTAGTGTAGACTTTATTTGATTTCCTTTCCCATATACATGACAAAAAGGAATTTGTGACCACCTCCCCAACCCCATATAATTACTTTTTTTTTTTAACTGACAGAGTCTCCATCTGGAGAACATTATTCGATTTTACACGTGCATTAATTAGCATTGTATTTTAAAATACATACGAGAATCTCACAAAATAAATGTTTACATGACCCCTAAATATTGATGGCTAAGTCTTAACGGACAAAAATATTTATTTAAAACTTTTCAACATTAAAAAAAAAAAATACTGGATTTTCATTTAAAATTTTACCTTTTCTTCTTTTCAATGTTAACATTCTGATTTGCTTAACAAAAAAAAAAAAAAAAAAAAAAATCCATGTGATGGGATCAAATATTAAATAAGACAACCATAATGGAAGTAAACAAATTGGTAATTAAATATAAACAATCAAATTATTATTTCATATTTTAAACTGGAAATAAAAGATAAAGAGTCGTCCTCACGTCGTACAAAAGCTGAAGAGAAAGAATTTGAAGACTCGATCTTTCGTTTCTTTTCTTTAATTAAATAGATTTTTCACAAGTTAGATGCTTGTTTCAAGAGTGAATTTTAGAGTTAAGAGATTTTATTGTGATGTTTGAGATAATCTTCTTTCTTGCTTAATAATAATAAAAAAAAGAAGACTTTTCTTCACTAGTTGAGCTTGGCCTCCTTCCATGGCTGTTTCGTCTCTGGCGATCCACATGGCACACTGCTTTTTATCTTCAATTTGAAACTTACATTTTTTCGGGCATCTTTACACAATATTAAAATTAAAAAGAAAATTAGTGCTGGGCATCAGCTAGAAGACAAAATATGTAACAATAGAATAATAATCAGACATTTATTTTTTTTTTTTTTTAAAAGATGATCACTAAAAATAACGTTCTCTAACCCTTTGCCATTTTCAATCTCGTGCGTAGAAATATGGACGGTGTAAAAAATTTTAAGGATCAAGAATACTCCTTGAAAAACTTTTTTTTTTAAAGACCAAGAAAAAAAACAAAAAATAAATAGATAACCAGTACTAAAATTTAACTACTCAATATTCAGCTTAGATACCAAAATAAATGAATAATTTTCATTTCGATAGTTTTCTTCGGGGCAGATGTACAGAAATTGTATAGTAGTGATGCACAAGCATGGAGAGGGCTGATAAACTTAAGAGTTTTAACACGATAGCTTTCTTTCTTACTAATATTTTTTAACCGAAAAATATAACCCAAACTAAATTGATTTCCTTACCGCTTCATCCTCAGCCATCTTTGCTTCTATAGTGAAACTATGCAAAATGATTAGAAAAACTGTAGCTGAACACGTTTAAGGGCCGGTCTTCGACCCAAATCGTATAATTTCTCAAAAACGACACCGACTCAACCTCTTGCATCAGACATATGGCTTAGACAAACAGTCCGCACTGAATAACGCGCTAGATACAGAACAATTTTAAAGATGAAAAGCAATCTAATTTCAAAACTATTCCTGCACTGTTGAAACCACCTTATCTCATTTAACAAAAAATTATATTAATCTATTTTTAAACTCTCTTCTTTTTTATTTTTCTTAAAAATATCCAAACTATTTTCTCTTTTTTTTTTCCCCCAAGTATTTATTTAGTCCGTAGCTTGTGATAACCACTATGGCTGAACTTCCGGCATTGGGAAAGCAATGTGATGTAGAATCTTGTAAACAAATTGGTGAGAAGATATCGCCTCTTGTTTTTTTATTACATTCATTTTTTAAAAAAAAATTGAGTCTAAAAATATACTTGATCTTAAATTTTAATGTATAAAATATTTTTTTAGCCACACAACTTGACACTCGTCACCCGGCATCAGCTGCTGCTGCTATTGTTTTAAAAAAAAGTAGATTAAGTAAATGATGATTAAATTTTTCTGTATTAAACTATGACAGTAAATAATAATAATATTCGACTTAAATCAGTTTATTTTAGATCATTGCATGGTGTGCTTTATAATATCCACATCCATCTACTCGGCTTAAGGCCGGTTTCGCCAAGGAAACAACTTGTTGCTAAGGGGAAGTTACTCTTGCTGTTAAAAAATATCTAAAACGAGCACCTGTGAATGCGATCGTTTGCCGAAGCATTTTTCATTAAATTTTACTTGTAGATATTTTTAATAATGTTTTAAAACTTTTATATTAGGATGGTATCTGTCTTTTGAACATAATCCATTTTTCTCTATAATTAATTTTCGAGAAAAAATGAAGGCATTAAAGAGTGCTTTTTTCAAATAGTTTTCAAGATCAAGAAATTATTTAGTGTCTCTACCGGTGCTGTCAAAAATGACAGCAATTGTTAGAAAGTCTTAATTTAATAGTGAGATAAAGTGAAACAAAAGTCTCTGAACAATGCACTGAGATTCAATAAAGTAGAGAAAAGAATTCACAACTGAAGTAGAGGCCAACGAATCCCTATATTTTTTAGATGTTCAATGGTGTCTATGATTCATTGATTGCTTCTGGTAAATCGCTTTTTGCTCAATATTTTTTCATGTGAAAAATTTTGTTTACTATAACAGTGAAATGGAAATATCTCCTAAAAAAAAGATTAGCAACAGAACAACAAAGCATATTTCAAGATCAAGTTGAAGCAAGATAATCAATTAGACAAAGGTAACCGAGCACCTCACATGAAAGACTTGAACAAATAAGACTGCAATCCAAGAAATGTGGGAACAGATTAATTAAAGGGTTCATTTTGCTTGGGAACTAATATTGTCTAAATGCAGATAAATAGTTCATTTTTATAGATCATTAAAATGACTAAGGAAAGTAATCATTCATAGATTTACTAACTTAAGTTGATTTACCTCATTCCCACCACATATGAGGCAGGAAATATATAAATATGCATTAATAATTATATGGTTTGATGATTATTTGCAAATACGTAAGGGGAGACTACTCTGTAATTAGCCAAACTTTACATTTAAAATTTAAAGTATGCATTACTTTTACAAATAATACTTAGTAGACAGTAATTAAATGATTTTTGTACATGCAGACTTACTATTTACAAAAAATATTTTCTCTTATAAAGTTTGAATATGTTCGTGATGGAAGAAATAATGAAATAAAAAGATTAATCATTTTTGCATGAAATAATGTTTATTTTTTAAAACTATTATTTCTGCATAAAATATGCAATAAAAATACTTCTTTCTTACAAAATAAACATTATTTCATGCAGCAATTAGTAATGGTTTCATTTTATGTCTTTTTTCCTTTTTTAATGTTGATATCTATATTTAATATCTTCTAATAAAAGCACAAACATACAAAAAGTGGATCATTTTTATTGGGGTTAGCACAAACACTGGCTCAATACAAATTGCTTTATTCTTCAAATTAGAGCATTTTAACAGTATTGTTCTATAAAAAATCTCATCATGATGTGTCATTTTTACTGTGTTATGATAACAAATAAATGAACCTAGAAACAGAACTCAGATCATTATATATCTTATTTTTATCCTTGATTAGGTGCTGAGTTTGAATTATTTGAAAAGGAAAAATTGCATGTAGTTTCAGAAAAACAAATGAATTATCTCCCTTGATTTATTGACATAGTTCAACTAATCAGTAAAAATCCTGAATTACAATTTTTTAACTAATCAGTTTCAAATATGCTGACATGAAAAAAGTCAAGAGTCTGTTGTGAATACAAAATAAAAATAAGTCTCTTTTCTTCACTGTTTTCAAATTCAAAAGCCTGTGCAAAAATTTATTTTGACCAATAGAGAAAGGGATTAGCTCCAGGCTGAAGAAAAGACCAAGGCAAAGTTTAATGAGCCTACATGAAAATTTATTTTTGACCAGTGGAAAAGGGAGCAGCTTACAAACTGAGAAAAAAGTAAGAAACTGATGTCAAATCACTTTTTGATATAAATAGGCAGAAAAAGTTGAATCAAAGCAGAGAGGTAGAGAGAGGGGGGAGGCAGAAAGAAGCAGAGTTCCATGTGTCTAAATAATGCCAATGTCAAATTACATGCTAATACATTATCAGCCTCTAATGAGAGCAGGGCAATTTCAAAGAACTCTATTGAACTCCAAAGCTAAGTACCTTAAAATATATCTTTTCATTCATGTTGAATACAACCATATAACTTTTATGTGAAAAACAAACTCTCTCAATTTGCTTTAAACATTTTGGAATATTACTTTTTGTCCGATTATTTAATATGAACATTTTCTCTTCTTGACAATTCATCGAAACTACAAACTTTAAATATTTGATCCTTTTCCTGAAACAAGATACTGACAACTCCAAATGTATAAACAAATAATTCCTTATCTTGTTTTGTTAAATATAACATGTGTGCTTCCTTATCATTATCCCTCAATAAGTCCATTTACAACATTGGAAACTTGAAAACAGCATCCTATTATCAATCTCCATGTTATTACTCCATACATATCTCTACTTTTTTCTTTTTTTAACAAAACTTAACAGTGATTACTAATTTATTTATGATGTCAATACAACCCAATGCCCTGAGTAACTGATAGTTCTGAATTAACCTTTAAATAACTTTTATATGTCCTCACTTATAAATTCTACAATTCTGTTTTTTTTAGGAATATTCACCCTATAAAATCCTGAGAGCCACTCTAAGTAGAAGGCTACTAAAGGAGGTTATTGTAAAAATGTTAAAAGGTTCAGTTTATGAGGATACAAGGGAAAGGCAATGGTTAACACTAGGTTTGAAGTGGTTAAGATTATAGTGGTCAAGAAAGCATCCTCTTGGGAGTCGGTTCCACAAAATAGCTGTCCATGGGAAGAAGCTGTTCAAGTGGAACTTACTCCTTACTAATAGAATACAAAGGGCATGAGGATGGTTTGCCTCTGTATACACAGCATGGCAGGTCTTAGCTGTGAGGGTTAGAGTTGGTATAACTAAGGAATGTTGCTTGTCAGAACACTTTCCATAGAAATAGCAATAGAGTTGACAAGAAGCTTTCGTCTGTGGAAAAAAGGTTGAAAAGTGTTGATTATGATATTTGTACAGTAAGTTTAAGCCCTAACACAGATTGTTGGCTGTAGAGAATACATTTACTAGCAGAAACCAGCAGTCAAATAGCAGCAGCTGACTTTAAAAATACTCTCCATTCCTTTGCCTAATATGTAGGGTCATTAACCATAACAAAATGCACTTCTCTATAGCGAGTCATTTAAGTAGTACTTTTCTTGTTTTAAAAACATAGACATTCAGACTCTGCTGTTAAGAAAAATCTTACCTTTTCAATAGCCAAGCTTTTATTATTTTATTCTTATTTAATGGAAGAAATTTTTCATAAAATTTCTGCTTGACTTGTATTTTACTTTAGTTCTGTATTGTTTTATTGAAAACATATAGAGTAGTATAGATAACATCTTGAAAGATATCATTACTGAGCAGCTCCTGAATTTCCATCTATTGCAGTAAATGTTTTCTCAAGAACCCTTGCCTTTAATGCCTATTGGGAATTAAGCTCACCCCAGACTTCAAGTGGAACATGTATACACAACCTATCATGAAATATGCTGAAAAAATGCTTGTTCCCCTGTACCATTTGAATAAATACCTGACTCCTGCTATGCTTTGCTTTTATGAGATCCAGATCAGGATGAAAACAGAGTGTGGCTGCCATACATGGGCTTCCCTCCCCAGTCTTGATAGAGTTCAAAAAGCATCTATGCAGCCAAGTGGATGATGAAATGTTTTCCACCTTACAAACACAGATGAAATATTTTAAATCACTTGCTATTTCCATGAAAAATGTTCCAGCAGTTATATTCCTTAGTTCCCTCAACTCTAACCCTTTGAGCTAAGACCTGCTACATTATGTACGTTGAAGTAAACCATCCTCATTCTCTTCATATTCTTGAATAAAGGATAGCTTCTTTCTAAGAACTGTTACTTTGTAGAACGGAATCCCAGGAGGATGTTTTCCCAACTACTGCAATGTTAACCACTTCAAGCCTAGGATTAACTGTTATCTTTCCGACATATCTGCATAAACTGCACCCATTACTCTTACCACTCACACAACAACTGCCTTCAGTAACCTTCTACCTTGAGTGGCCCTTGGGCATTACGTAGGGTAAACATTAATAACAAAAAATTCCACTTTATTTGCATGCTTTTTCTTTATTTCATATATGAGCTACAATTTACATGAGAAATATTCTCTCCTGATAATAATCAGAGTTCTACCTGTGAAAATTTCACAGTTATTTGAATTTTCTGACAAACCAT